TTTTTTTTGTACTAGGAATTGAATTGAGGACCTTGTGCTCACCAGGCAGGCACTGTGCCATTGAGCTATATTCCCAACCCTAAAATTTTTGAATAGATTAATACAACTACTATTTGGGTTTTTTTTTGTTTTGCTTTTTTGTTTTTTTCTGGTACAGGGAACCGAACTCATGACCTTGCGGTTGCCCGGCAGGCTCTGTGCCGCTGAGCTAAATCCTCAGCCCCAATACCACTACTGTTTAGATTTCACCCCAAATGATTTAAATACATCACTTAACTTACATATTTTTAGTGGATTTAAATGAATTAGGATGAAATAACTAGGAGATTAAAAATTATTCAAAACTATTGGCCAAAATATTTCTAATTGAAATATATAATTTAAATTCAACATATACAATTTAAATTAGAAAATAAATAACAATCATAAAACACAGATAAGTAAAAATAAATTGATATTTTAAAGAAGAAAATATGCACGAAGATATGTATATTTTAAGATGCAGATATGTGAAACCTTATAAAAATTTAAACCCCTTGTAATTTCAGCAGCTAGCTGTAACTTTATACTGTATTAACATACAGATTTTTAGTATATCTGCAGCATCATATCATGTCATGATTACAGAATAACAATTTGATAGATTTGCTAATACTCATTTTTTTAACTGGATGTCTCCAAATAGAAGCCAGTTGCTATTTTTCAGAGAGCTCACTCTTACGGCAATCAGGACTATGGTTTTTGTTGCTTTTCTCTGCTTCTGTTCCTCTTGCCTTTCTGGGGGAGGGGCTTGGGTGTTCAGAGCCAGGCACTTGGTGGAGTGTGGCCCCCAGAGCAGTGGGTGGCACAGGGGTTATGGCTCCTGCCCTGTGCCCACCACCAGCGTGGGTACAGCAATGGATGCCCCACCTCCCTAGTTTGCCCACCACCCCCTCCATGCCGCCACATCCTCTGTAAATGGAGATGAAGACCGTCTCACTGGTGAGAAGCCTGTGCCTGCTGTGATGGCTTGGATGCCTACCCAGCGCCATTTTTATTAGTAATAGACCTGTGAGCAAGATTTCTGCATGTCACAGGAATGAAGGCAGATGGGAAATGGATTTCTATTGACCTCACCCCTAGGTCAGAAAATCAGCCCAGACCACCATGAATCCTTCTAAGGATGGTGCATAGGGGAGGGGTGAAGGAAGGTAGTGCCCAGGCTGACCCCAATGTCCCACAGAGGGTGTTTGTCTATGTGGGAGACTCACCTGCTCAACCAATGCTGTGTGAGACCATGGTTGCCCTTTTGTGACAAGTTCCCCGGGCCCATGTGCCCCTAGCAGGCATGCATTTCGGCTTCCTCAAGTCAGATGCACTGCATTGCCTTTCAGTTGGTTTCTCTGACCCCTCTTAGTTCAGGCATCATGTCCCTGGCACTTGCTGGCCCACCCCTGCTGTCCTCACAATTGTTTGGCAAATCATCTGAGTCACAGAAGTGAGCGAGGCAGGGTGGCCCCCAGGTAGGCAAGGACCTTGCACGGACCCTATGGTCTGGGGACCGACCCACTGCCTCTGAAGGTCATGTAGGAGGCGGCCAGGCCTTGGGGCAGGTGTAACTCACTGGTCACCTCCTCCAGAGACCTGGCTGTCAGTTAGAGGGCAGGTGCTTGTTGGGCAGGGCTGTGCGCAGGCACAGAGTCAAGGCCCAGAGTATTGAGGCTGTGGCACTGGGGCTCAGAAGGCCTCACAACAACATGGCAATGGAGCTCAGTTTCAGAAGCACTTCTGGGAGCAAAGGGCAGAGATGGTATCATCATCAAAGCAGCAATCACCCAGGGAGCGGGTGGAAGAACCTGAACTGGGTCCAGCTACTGACTGCCAATGGAGGTCTAATTTGGATAGAGGCTTCCATCTTTGCAAGTCACCCAGCACAGTTAAATGGTACTGCTGTGGGGCCAGGTCAGGCCACCTTCAGGTTGGGCAGGTGACCATCCTTGTACGCACTATCTTCTCAGAGAGCTTGTGCTCTTCTAGAGATTAACAGTGCTTTTTATATTACATTTTTTAATTTTAAAAATAAAAGGAAGAAAACATTAATAGACAGACAACCTTTTACAAAATAGCAAAAGAACAGTACAGACAA